TATCAAAGTAATTGTGACATTTTTACTGTTTACCAACTGTAAGATATAGATGAGTGTAAATTTAAGCAAGAATTTCCTCTGAAGAGGCTGCTCTTGTCTGACAACCTTAATCTGCTATTTACGTTTTCAGCAAGAGCTGTAACATGTTGTGACTCTTTATCGTGAAATGGAAACTAGCACAAAGTGCTTCTGGGCAAAAGGCTGGCAGGCAGGCAGGCAGGCAGGCCACCTGCGCGGCTGTGCGTTCTCCCCTGACATCTGAGCTGAACAAGAATGGACCCAGTTCAGGGGCAGGTCTGTAAACTTGCCTCAGAACCATTTGCTTGGTATGTTTTATTTATTGAAAGGAGAAAGGGAGATAAGCTCTGCTCCGTAAAAGAGCAGATCAGACGTAAGAATTTGGGAAGTTAGATCGAATCACAAATGTTAAACGCACTGTAATGTGTGTAGCCAGCTCTCCTGTCCTAAATTTTCACATTATCTGATTAAGCCACTTCCTGGGCATTTTTAGGCTCCATGTGGAGAGCAACTAAAAGTGAATCATCTGTTGGACTTGCACCTTTTGTGATGGCCTCCAGGGTCAAGATGCATAGTAGTCGGTAAAAGGTTTTGTACCAAGGTGCAGCTGGCCAAAGCTAGGCTCATGCTAGTGAATGGGGAGGGAAACTGCATCCACATGCCCTCAGAGCCATCCCTGAATTACTGGAGGCAAGTCCAGGGGTAAAAAGAACTGGGCGAAAACACAGACTCTGAAGCCACACTCACTTTTGGCAAGTAACTAAGTTTTCATATCTGGAAAGTGCAGATAACAACACTCTCCATCCCACAGAGCTATTTGGAAGATTTAACAGATGTAGGTAAAGTGTTCAAAACAGTGCATGGCACCTAGTAAGCACTGTGGAAGTGTTCTGTATTGTCACTATTCTCTCTCCCCGAGCTGATGAGTTGAGTCATGTTAGAGCATTATTCAGTCCAAGCATTTGGGAGTCTTGTGTCCCATTTATTTATTTATTCAGTGTTGTATGTTTACATCAGTATGTACTCATGTATTTATGTTACACTTTGGGTTATAATCATACTTTGTTATTCAAAGTATTCCAGCTCTTCCAGACTGGTCTGCCTCTCTCTCTCTCTCTCTCTCTCTCTCTCTCTAACAGCCTTTACTAAGATATAATTTACCTACTATACAATTTACTCACTTAAACTGAACACTTAAAGTGAACACTTAAAGTGAAGCTTTTAACATAATTGTGCACTGATCACTGTAACTCCATACCTTACACCTCACCCAACCTTCATTTCCTGACAATCATGAATCTGCTTTCTATCTTTTAGATTTGCCTCTTCTGGATATTTCATATATATATATATATGGAATTATATAGTATGTTTCCTTTGTGACTAGCTTCTTGCACTCAGCAAAATGTTTTTTTGTCTGGTCTGTTTTTAATCTTTATGTATTTAGATGTTGCTTTTACATAAGTGTAATCCATATGAATGTTGAGTTCACTGTTCTGTGTTGTGACTTAATATCATATATATTTCTCCATTCTGCTTAGTCTATATATACATCTTAATAGTTAAAAGATGTCAAATTTGTGTATTCTTCTTATTTAATAAGTCCAAGTTTGTCATATATGAGTATGTTCCGTGTTTCATTATTAGAATGTTACTATAAAAAAATTTTAGGCACTGTAATTCAATTAAGTTCTAGTCTTGTTTGTTTTAAAGTTTTATTTTATTTATTTGAAAAAGTTACAGAAAAAGAGGGAAAGAGAGAGAGAGAGGTCTTCCATCTGCTTGTTCATCCCCCAGTGGCCACAATGACTGGGGCTGAGCCAGGCTGAAGTCAGGAGCCAGGAGTTTCTTCCAGGTCTTCCACACACGTTCAGGGAACCAAGCACTTGGGCTATCTTCAAGGTGCTTTCTCAGGGGAATTAGAAGGGAGCTATTGGGTCAGAAGTGAAACAGTGAGGACTTGAACTGGCATCCATATGGGATCCTGGTGCTGCAGGCAGTGGCTTAACCTGCTATGCCACAACTTCAGCCCCAGGTTTCATCCTTAATCCATTGACATAAGACTTGGGATCAAAATTTTAACACATGGCACATCCAAATTATTTTCTAAACCATAACATTCTACTTATGGCTCCCCAAAATTCATGTCTTTCTCATATATAAAATACATTTGTTCCATCCCCCAAAATCACAAAGTCTTAATTCAGTCCAACATTGCTTCAGAAATCCAAAGTCTCATCTAAGACTCATGGCCAACTCCCAACAGTGAACCTATACAGTTGAAACTAAGTTATAAAGGTAGTTGTTGTAGTACAGCAGGTTAAGGTACTGCTTGCAGTACCCACATCCAATATCCAAGTGCATGAATGAGTCCTGGCTATTCTGCTTTGGATCCAGCTTCCTGCTAATGCATCTTGGGAGGTAGCAGATGAAGGCTCAAATGCTTGGGTCCCTGCTACCCATGTTGGAGACTCAGATTGAGTTCTGGGTACCTAACTTAGACCTGGCCCAGCCCTAGATGTTATAGGCATCTGAGGAATGAATCAACAGGTAGAAGATCTCTTTATAATCCAGAATCTATAAAGCGCTCAAGAAACTCACCAACAGCAAAATAAACAATCCCGTTAAGAAATGGACAAAGGACTTGAATAGGCATTTTTCAAAAAGAGATTCAAATAGCCAACAAACACATGAAAAAATACTCAGGATCACTAGCCATCAGGGAAATGCAAATCAAAACCACAATGAGGTTTCACCTCACCCCAGTTAGAATGGCTGTCATAAAGAAATATAAATGCTGGTGAGGGTGTGGGAAAAAGGTACCCTAATCCACTGTTGGTAGGAATGTAAACTAGTACAGCCATTGTGGAAGACAGTGTGTAGATACCTCAGAAAAGTGAAAATAGATCTACCATATGACCCAGCTACCCACTCCTGGGAATTTACCCAAGGGAAATGAAATCAGCATATGAAAGAGTGATCTGTACCCACAAGTTTATTGCAACTCAATTCATAATAGCTAAGATTTGGAATCAACCCAGATGTCCATCAACTGATGACTGGATAAAGAAATAATGGAGGCCGGCGCCACGACTCCATAGGCTAATCCTCCGCCTGGTGGCGCTGGCACACCGGGTTCTAGTCCCGGTCGGGGTTGCCCCTCTTCCAGGCCAGTTCTCTTCTGTGGCCAGGAAGTGCAGTGGAGGATGGCCCAAGCACTTGGGCCCTGCACCCCATGGGAGACCAGGAGAAGCACCTGGCTCCTGCCTTTGGATCAGCGCGGTGCGCTGGCTGCAGGGTGCCGGCCGCGGCAGCCATTGGAGGGTGAACCAACGGCAAAGGAAGACCTTTCTCTCTGTCTCTCTCTCTCTCACTGTCCACTCTGCCTGGAAAAAAAAAAAAAAAAGAAATAATGGTGTGTATATATTTATTTATAGTGTGGAATACTACTGAGCCATAAAAAAGAATGAAATCCTGTCTTTTGCAACAAAATGGGTACAACTGGAAATCATATGCTTCGTAAAATAAGCCAGACCCCAAAAGTCAAATACCATATATTTTCCCTGATCTGTGTTAAAGTAATTGGTAGAGTACCAAAAAGTGTAATGTATAGGAGTGAAATTTACATTTTGAGATTTGATTATTGTTTATAACCCTTGTTTACAGTTGAGGAACAGTGTTTTGTTCTTCTGTTTGTTGAACTCTTCACTTAGTGTAGGGTTTTAATCGTAAGAGTATAAAGTAGGCTGGCGCCGAGGCTCACTAGGCTAATCCTCCACCTAGCGGCGCCGGCACACCGGGTTCTAGTCCTGGTCGGGACACTGGATTCTGTCCCGGTTGCCCCTCTTCCAGACCAGCCCTCTGCTGTGGCCCGGGAGTGCAGTGGAGGATGGCCCAGGTGCTTGGGCCCTGCATCCCATGGGAGACCAGGATAAGCACCTGGCTCCTGCCTTCGGATCAGCGCGGTGCGCCGGCCGCAGTGCGCCAGCCGTGGCAGCCATTGGAGGGTGAACCAACGGCAAAACGAAGACCTTTCTCTCTGTCTCTCTCTCTCTCACTATCCACTCTGCCTGTCAAAAAAAAAAAAAAAAAAAAAAAAAAGAGTATAAAGTAAACTGAAAGTATATCATTGTAAAAATTAAGAGGGAATACGAGAGGAAGGAGGACAGGGGAGGGAGCATGAGTGGAAGCGAGTGGGAAGTATCACTATGTTCCTAAATCTGTATATATGAAATATATAAATTCATACACCTTAAATAAAATAAAAGAAGACAAAGAAAGAAACAAAAGATCTGTCTCTCTGCTTTTGAAGTAGATACTAACCAATTTTTAAAAATTAAAAAGGAGTCATATATTTCTAGGATACAGGTTTAGGATATACATTTCCATTCCAAAAGGCGGAGACAGAAAAATAGAAAGGAGGAATTGGGCCAAAGCAAGTCTGAAAACCCGCAAGACAAACATCAAACCCTAAAGCTGCACATCTGGCACCCTGGGCATCCTGTGGCAGGGGCTGGGCTCCCAGCAGTTTGGGCAGCCCCCGCCCCCCCGGGAGTCTCGTCTCTGCAGCTCCAGGAGGCATGGCCTCGGTGGGGCACTCCACAGCAACTCCAACCCCACAGTTCCACTTGGCACTGTCCTAGTGAAGGCTCTCTGCCTGGGCCCCCAGATTCTCTGAAACGTAGATAGAGGCCTCCGTGCCTCCACAGCTCTGTTGGTCTCTGGCCTCGTGGCCACTCTGTGTGCCTGCATGCTGTTCTCTGTGCCATTCCTGGCATACTGTTTGCAACTTTCCTCGGCAGAGTTTCGTGGTGCTCGTACCTCTGCCTTGCCGGATTTTGCTTGCACAGCTGCACCACATATCACTCTGCAGAACCTCTAACTCCCTTGGAAGTCCAACTGCTCCTGGCCCCTTGGGCTTTCCTTTAAAACCTCAGTGGAAACCACCATGACCCTAACTCTGGTGTTTTGCATGCTTACAGCCCCAGCATCACGTGGGCATGGACGATACCAAGGTCTGCCATCAGCAGGAACCACACCCGTGCCTGCTTGTTTGGGGCTGCAGTGGCTTTGGAGCACCTCGCCTGCAAGCCAGAATCTGGAGTTGGCTCCGGGGCAAGCTCTGTGCGCTGATGCTCTTTCCTGAAAGGATTCTGCCCTGGAAGGTCTTTGAAACAATTTTCATTTTTGTCCTCTGGTGAGACTGTGATGGGAGGAATCTCCTAGAAGTTCTGTGAAATGCCTTTGGAGTCTTTTCCGTGTTGTCTCACCTAACAACAAAGGGTTCCTTTCTACTTGGCACTCCTCTCTCTAAATTTTCAAGATTTTTTTTATTTATTTGAAGGAGTTACAAAGAAGGGGAAAGACAGAGAGTCTTCCAAATGCTGGTTCACTCCCCCAGATGGCCACAAAGGCCAAGACTGGGCCAGGCTGAAGCCAGGAGCTTCATCCAGGTCTCCCATGTGGATAGCAGGGGCCCAAGCACTTGGGTCATCTTCCACTGCTTTTCCAAGTGCATTATCAGGGAGCTGGATTAGAAGTGGAACAGCTGGGACACAGACTGCTGCTCCAGTCTCCTTAGCAAGCAGTTTCTCCATCTCCCTTTCCCGTCCTGAACAAGCTTTCTCTTCCTTCTTTCCCTCGCTAGGCTGTGAATTTTCCAGATCCTTCTGCTCTACTCTTTTTTTGCCCCTGATTTCTCTCACTGGAAAAGTTTTTAACAGAGGTCAGCATTATGGTACAGTGGGTTAAGCCACCACTTCTGATGCCAGTATCCCATATCAGAGCCCCTGTTCAATTCCCTGCTGCTCCGATTCCAATCCAGCTTCCTGCTGGTGTGCCTGGGAAAGCACCAGATGATGGCCCAAATGCTTAGATCCTTGCCAACTATGTGGGAGACCAGGATGGAGTTTCTGCCTGGCCCAGCCCTGGTTGTTGTGGCCAAATGGGGAGTGAGCCAACCAGCTTTTGGAAGATCCATCTCTCTCTCTGTCACTATGCCTTTCAAATAAAGATTTTTTAAAGATTTATTTATTTGAAAGTCAGAGTTACACACAGAGAGAGGAGAGGCAGAGAGAGAGAGAGAGAGAGAAGTCTTCCATCCGCTGGTTCACTCCCCAGTTGGCCGCAACGACTAGAGCTACACCAATCCAAAGCCAGGAGCCAGGAGCTTCTGGGTCTCCCACGAGGATGCAGGGGCCCAAGGACTTGGGCCATCTTCTACTACTTTCCCAGGCCATAGCAGAGACCTGGATGCTGGAACAGAAGTGGAGCAGCCAGGACTTGAACCGGCGCCCATAAGGGATGCCAGCACTGCAGGCAGCAGCTTTTACCAACTATGCCACAGCGTTGGCCCCTAAACATTTAAAAAAAAATTTTTTTTAAACTCCCCAACAGCAGCTAATAATACCCATGCTAGGAACTGAACGCTTTATTACCTTGGGATCTCTCCCTCCAGACAAACTAGTTCACGATTTTTACATTTGGCATCTCAGAATGTCTACACACACAGGCCCAATAAAGCCCGGTTCCATGCCATGGCATAGGTTTACTTTTGCTAACAGTTTTGGAGGTTCACAGTTCAAGATCAGGCAGCTCCACTGATTCAGGCATTTGGTAAGCCCAAAGATGGTGGAAGCAGAAAGATACAAGTAGACCTCCTGTCTATAAAATTTTATGCATATAGATTTTAAATTATACTTTAGGGTGGATTCTCAAGATTGGAATGCATGAGTTTAAAGATAAAATCATTTTTACAGTTTTTTTTGTTGTTGTTGTTGCATTCTACTCAGTTCCACTGCAGAAAATTTTTAACAATTAAACAATACTAGAAATCTAAACATATGGATATCTGTTTTCCTACAGCCTTATCAACATTCTTTTCCTCTTTTAATACACATAAAGGGAGGAAAGAAAAGAACCCAGTATTTCAATGTTTTACAAGAACTCTGTTGTTTGCCTCCTTTAATCTTTGCCTCTAGTCCATGAGTGGGTGTTTCTCCCAGTTGACAGTGCTGAGGCTGGTTGCCAGAGGCCTAAGGAGTTATAGCCAGAGGGCAAATACCAAAGGTCAAGTGATGGAAGAGTGCCCAAACCAGAGCTGGTGGAAGTTATCCAAGCCAGGTCATTAAGAGTCAAGGCCAGAGAAGAGAATGGGCACCAAGGCACTGGATCAAAAATTAAGGGAACAAAAACCTAGAAAAGCCTGAGCTAAGGTTAAATGGGACATCCCTTGGATGAATTCCAAAACACATCTCCTTATAGAACTTTCATAGGAGCCATCCAGGCCTCTGTGACTGGAGCAGTTCTTTTAAAGATGACAGAGAGAATAGACATCAGACTAAATGCTTGGCATTTAGGGTTCATTGACTATATTTGTATTTGAAAAATAGAGTTGTTACACATGCATGCATGTTTACACGTGTAAAGAAGGTCTAGAAGGTATGTACTACACTTAAAAATGTTGGTTATATCTTTAGGAAGATGAATGGAATTAGGGGCAGGAGTTGAAGCACCAGAATTCTTTATGTGTGTGCTTTATTTGAATTCTTGTGTAGTTTTTTTAAAGGAGAAATCATGGCTAAAGAAAGCTTTTTTTTTTTTTCATTCCTTCTGTCATTCAACAAATATTTATTGCTTGTTAGGCATTGTCTGAGGATCTGAAGTAAGGTGTACATCTCACCCACAAGTTCATACTCTAGCAAAGTATATCATTTTTCAAACCTGGGGTCACAGTCCTTTAGTTCCGAAATCAAAAATCTGTGTCAGGGCAGTGCAGTATGTGGATTCGATTTCTGCCCCCAGCTCCTGACTCCAGCTTCCTGCTATGCAGGCCCTTGCAAGCAATGATGACAGCTTAACTAGTTGGATTCTTGCCACCAACACTGGAGACCTAAATTGAGTTTCCAGCTCCTGACTTTGCCCTGGCCCAGCTCAGGCTGTGCACGCATCTTGGGAGTGAATCAGAGGATAAGCCATCTCTGTCTCTCTCTCTCTCTCTCTCTCTCTCTCTCTCCTCTCCCTCTCTGTCACTCTTCCTTTCAAATGAGTATTTTTTAAAAGTCAGTAGGTCATATTGGGTGTCATATCAGAGTTGATTGGTTCAAATCCTGCCTATACCTCTAATCTAGCTTCCTGCTACCCTGGGAGGCAGCAGGTGATGCTTGAGTCCCTGCCACCCATGTGGGACATCCAGATGGAGATCCTGGCTCCTAGCTTAGGCCCAGCTCTGGCTATTGTGGGTGTTTGAGGAGTGAACTAGGAGATGAATGATCTCATTCTCTCTCCTGTGTGAGGCACTGCCATTCAAATAAGTAACTTCTAAAAATGGTTAATAACTGTATCAATATGTATTTATAAACTGTAACAAATGTACATTACTAATGTAACATGGTAGCAAGAGGAAAATGGTAGTAAGAATAATAAAAGAAGGCTAATCCTCCGCCTTGCAGTGCTGGCACACCGGGTTCTAGTCCCGGTCGGGGCTCCAGATTCTGTCCCGGTTGCCCCTCTTCCAGGCCACCTCTCTGCTGTGGCCCGGGAGTGCAGTGGAGGATGGCCCGAGTACTTGGGCCCTGCACCCCATGGGAGACCAGGAGAAGTACCTGGCTCCTGCCATCAGATCAGCGCGGTGCACCAGCTGCAGCACGCCAGCCGCGGCGGCCATTGGAGGGTGAACCAACGGCAAAGGAAGACCTTTCTCTCTGTCTCTCTCTCACTGTCCACTCTGCCTGTCAAAAAAAAAAAATAATAATAATAACAGAAGAAACTGGATGTGGGATACATAACAACTCTTTTTTTTTTTTTTAGTTTTTCACTTATGGTTAGTTTAATAAACAAATGAACATTTAAAAATCTTCCAAAAAATTCATTCTCTTAGGATAAGTAAACAACTCTTATCTTATTACTATTTTCTGTAATTCTATAACTTTTAAAAAATAAAGTTTATTTTACAAAAAGTAGGCTACAACTAACACTTCTGCCCTCGGCATTTTATTACAATGATTCTCATATATAAATCTGAGAGAAATTCGCAGTGAGTGCCCATTTGCCATCATCTAGATTCTACTGTGAACATTTTACTATACTTGCTTTCTTATTTGTCTCACCATCTGTCCTACTCTGTTTTGCACTGCTATAAAAGAACCCTTGAGACTGAGTGTTTTATAAAGAACAGAGACTTAATTCTTACCCTTCTGGAGACTGGGAATGCCAAATTCAAGGGGCCCATATGTGGTGAGGATCTTCTTGCTGAGAGCACTCCCCAAAGAGAAAACCCTCATGATCTAATCACCGCCTAAAGGGATCGCCCCTGAACACCATTGTGCTGGGGATGAAGTTTCCAAAATGTGTACTTGGAGGGACACATTCAAACATAGCACCAGCTATCAGGCTCTCTGCTCACAATTAATTTGTGTTAGTCTTTCAATGCATTTCAAGGTAAATTATCCACCGATAATCGGTACACTTCCCCCAAATACCTGAGTATATACGTCATTAGCTAGAGAATTTGTACTTTATTTTCCTTTAAGAGCTATTTGTTTATTTGAAAGGCAAAGCAATAAACAGGAAGAGATAGTCAGAGATAGATATCTTCCATCAGCTGATTCATTCCCCCAAATGTCTGCAATAGCTAGGTCTCACCAGGCTGAGGCTAGAAGCCAGGAACTCCATCCTGGTCTCCTACATGGGTGGCAGAGGTCTAAGTACTTGGGCCATCATCCTCTTTGCTCCAAGGACATTAGAAGGAAGCTTGATCAGAAGGGGAGCAGCTCGGACTCCAACTGACTCTGAAATGGGATGCCGGCTCCACAAGCCATGGCCTCACCCACTGCACTACAATGTTGGCTAATTATATTCTTTTGATGTAAAATTTGCATGTAACAAAACACGTGGCTCTCTGATATACATTTGCCAAGTTTTGACAAATTCTTTTTTTTAAAGATTTATTTTATTTATTTGAAAGAGTTACAGAGAGAGGTAGAGACAGAGAGAGAAGTCTTCAATCCTCTGGTTCACTCTCTAGAACTGTCGGCTGCAACTGCTGGAGCTGAGCCGATCCAAAGCCAGGAGCCAGAAACTTTGGGTCTCCCACGTGGGTGCAGGGGCCCAAGGACTTGGGCCATCTTCTACTGTTTTCCTAGGCCATAGCAGAGAGCTGGATCAG